TTACACGTATAAAAGTTTATGAACTCTGCTAATGATAATTATGCTCATTCTCTACATTACTTAATATGCAATAGTGCAAGTAAATATATGATCGAGTTTTGATGGTATAAATATTTGGAGGACGTTTGATAGGAATTGTGACAATTTGACAAACAAGAGTGAAACGATTTAGTGAATTCTTTTTAATAAAATTATGTTTTCGATGATCTGTGAGGGAAAGGGAAAATTAGAAAAGCAAGTGGACAAAGGCTGTCTTTATGGATTCCGAAGTCAACTTATTATCCCTGATAAGATCTATTTTGTCCTTTTGGTATTGTCTTCATCCCCCGAGTGTTTTTAACATTTTCATCGATTTTCTTATTAACTTTTCCTCAGACTCCACATGTCATATGACATTAATTAATAATACTTGATACTTCTCATACTCAAATAAATATTTGTCCTTGCGAAAACAATCTATTAGAGAGATAAATTGATCATACAACTAAACGAAGAAACGAAAGACAAAAAAGACTTTGAGTTTGTTACTCCTAACCTCATCCCTCATAACCCTAAGAAAACAGTAGAGAGGTAAGCAAGCACGTACGTAAGAACAACAACGATAATGTTCTAATAATCATGACAACAATACTGATAAAACATTCCACCATTTCCGTTCTGCTGCATCTTAGCTGAATCAAACCCACTCTCATCTTCAACCCAACCCAACTCTCCATGATATTTCACCTGACCGAATCCGTTTCCTTCGACATTGACGTGATCCGGTAAACTACGATGATCTGGCTGAAATCCTGTATCTATCATTGTCTTGAAAACACCAACCGCCGGTTGGTTCGTCGTTGGAGGTCTTGAAGCTTGTTGAGAGATAGGTTTTGGCAAAAAGCCTTGAACAATTTCTTGAAGAAGACCAGAACCAGCTGGTTCCGGTTCGAAAACTGAGATCATTCTCTCATTATCAATGGTACTTGACCTCTTTGCTTTAGGCGAGAGATCCTCGGATACATTGTTGACATTAGTGAAGGACTCGGGAACGATGTCGTTTACGTTAGACAGATTGCAGGGCGGGTAACCGAAGGTGGTTAACGGAGACAGAGACTGAGAGTTAAAGACGTCATGTAGAAGGAACATGTTCATTGGAGGAGGCGAGAAAAGACGATGGTGATAAGAGTCAAGAGAAGGAATTGGGTAAACAAAGTTGGTTCGAGCCTTAAGACCACGCATGGCTCGAGCAGCGCAATCGTATGCGCAAGCTGCTTCCTCGGCCGTGTCGAATGTTCCGAGCCATCGCCTCTCCTTCGACATGGGGTCTCGTATTTCAGCAGCGTAACGACCCCATGGCCTGCGCCTCACGCCTCGGTACCTCAATGTGGACCCACTGGAAGCGCCGGCGCCGGAGGCAGGTTTCGTGGTGGTTACTCCTCCCGGAGAGCCAGGAGCGGTAGAAGAAGCTCTTGATGGCTTTCTCTTTAGAGAATGGTTGTTTACTCTCTGCTCGGCACCTTCGAGTCTCATGATTGCTTCTTCCATGGTTAACCTGAGGGACGTTCCTTTTCGAGCTTTGAAGGTTTGTTTTTATGCTTTTTCGGTGGTTCTTTTAGGGTTTGAGACACCTGACTGTGATGGTAGCTGATTACGTATTTATAGAATGAAAACTATAAAAACATTTCATTGTTTTTAATTAAAAGAGATTTGTTGAC